ATTTTAGTTATTATAGCATGTTTATTAATGCTTTCTTTTCCTTTTATGTTTCATTTCAAGCCCTGTAATCTTGGTGGGTGGTGGGCCATTCTACCTCTATGATAGCATCAGGCAGATTGGAGAAAAAGATTTGTTCAAGTCTGGTTTTGCTGCAATGAGACCTTTCATCGCTGAGCAGCTAATTTATTGCTTTTCATTATAACAGACAGCTATAAGTATTTCTTGACAGTGATGCAATTTTAGCCGATATGTTTGATTTTTTTCCCTGTAAATATTGTATTGTATTAATAAAGTGCTTTAGTAAGGATCATAACATGACTCCTGATTCAAAACATCGGCTAAAGATAAATGAGGGTAAATGAAGCAGGTAAATGAGATTTGTTTATTTATTTAATTAAGAGTTACAGAATTTTCTGATGGCACATGAACTGTGATTTTGTAAGGAGAAGGCCATGACACTGAAAAACTAGTAGCACTTTCCATTTGATACAGTAAATGATCCATCCGATACTGGAAGTGAGAAATAAATTTACTGAATTGAATACAGTCAAAAGTCGTTGATTCGGACACCCATAATCTGGAATGATCTATAATCCGGACCTCAAAGCTATGCGCATGCGTCGCGTTGACGCATGCGCGTAAGACCTTTACGGCTGCGAATATGCGTGTGCGCATGCCCAAAATACGTTTACGCATGCGTGTTTAATGTATAACGGATGGTATAAGCTAAGCTAAAATTATCTAATTCAGTTAATGTTGCAGATTGCGTTGTTCCTTAATCTTTGAATTGGATCTGGCTTATTATTTTTTGCAGACTGTTACAGCAATTTTATAAAAGTAAGCTTGAACTTTCGAATTATGTCAAATAGAATTTCCGATATTTATTTTACTAATATGTAAAGGATCTACAAAGCGAAAGAATGTTTCAGAGTCCATTAAACAAAAAGTGGAATTGCTGCAAAAAATGAATAAAGGCATATCCTTTGTTTATCTAAACTTTAACGTTTGTTTATCTAAACTTTGTTTATCTTTAACGCCGCGGCGGGCGCGCGCAATTAATTGGAAGTTGATCTGTCAGCACTATCCTTATCTTCAGGGCAGATGTTTTTATTTTATTTGGCTTATAAGTGCTTACTAAATGTAGTATTTCATTTCGATGTACTCCGTCTCTGATATGATTTAAATCAAATGCCTCATCATTATAATTCGCTTCCGATAGCGAAGAAAGTCACAGAGGTTATTAAAAACGAAAAAATTTCGATTGACAAATTAGTCGGTATTCTCGACACAGCAATTATAGGACTTGAACAGCGGAACTTTGTATCTGAACAAGAAATTATGTCTGTTTATAGAATTAAAGAGAATGTATTATCACATAAAAAAATGAAGCAACTTAAACAACTTACATTGAAAGAAATGTTTAGTAAAGTAAACAAATAAATATTAAGCTTTTTTTTTTTTTTTTTTTTTTTTTTTTTGTAAATTTTGATACACTTTAGATTATAATTGTTCTTTATTTCGTAAATTATGGTTTCATATTTTTAATTTTATAATTTCTGCATGCCATTTTACCAGATTTAAACTGATGATCTATAATCCGGAATCGCCGAAGTCCCGACGAGTCCGGATTAACGACTTTTCACTGTATTACCTTTTTGTCTGGGAAAAAGCTTTCATACATTGCCTATTTAATTAATGTTTACTCTCAGAAAACAGGCTTTATAAATTATTTCAATCTCTTAAGCTTTTCAAAGATATTTCAATTAGCTTTTATATTATTATAACTGAATAAGCTTATAAGATATCTAATGAAATAATTTAAAGGCATATTAAAAATTCTGCAACTAATGAAATATTGGGAAAGGCCTCCAAATATAGGAAAGATTACTAGTAGCATTTTATCTATGCGCTAAATTTATTCATAATATGCTATTTAGGTTTAAACTAAGTTCGTAGGTATATACTTCTTGATACATTCATCCTTTACTATAAACAGTTAATGAGTTTCATCTGAGAAACACTATAATTCTTTTATACTGAAAAAAACTACTTGTCCTCTTTCATATCGCCAATGTATGCAAATGAAAGAGTACCTAAGTTAATTACCAAATGTAATTATATTTATTTCACATAAACCAGAACAGCATATGATGAAAATCCTTTCTCATTCATGGAGTTATAAACATACATAAAATTAAATATTATTTACATGCATAAAACTAAGTATTATGAACATACATCAAATTAAGTAATGAATGTAGACACATACCTAAATGTAATAATAAAAAAAACCTAAATTCAAACATTCACATTTATGAGATGATCTTACAAACGAGTACACATGAATGGAATTTTTCAAAGGCACAAAATATGCAATGATTGCAGTTACAAACACCAAAATAATAAAACTTCAATTTGCAAATTATACAAAAAATGCTTTTTAAAATTTTTTTCTTTAGGATTATTTGAAATAACAGAATTCCCTGTTAAATATTTCATATAATTGTTTAAGCAAAGAATTTCAAATGCATTCTGTATTTTCATGCCAATATTAATGAAATCACAACTGCAAGATTTTAAAACATTTTGTTACTAAGGAATTTGCAATTATTAATATAAAAAGTGAAAAAGGATTTAATGCTAATTTTAACACTTTCAAAAATGTGTTTTGCAACTATGGATTACAGAATTTTGTACTAATGTTAATGTTTCAGATCAGATCTTTTATATCATATCTAAATAACAAAATTATTTTCACAAACAGTACTCCTTTTACTCGAAAAGAAAATTTCAAACAAATTTTTGACATCACAACTGCCCTTTTTGCATCAATTTTTAGAAAGTGAAAAGTATTAACATTATCCTTTCTTCCAACATAATTAGATTTCAACACACAACAATGACTCACTGCATTGTCAGCTGCAAAAGGTACCAACTGATAAGTTAGATAGATTTGGATTCATTCCCAAGTCACTTGTTGAGTATCACAGCCTTCTCCTTACAAATGTTATATAGCTGTACTTAGTTGTCAGAGTCATTTAGATTTAATAAAATGAAATCTCTCTTTATTTTGGTTTTCAGTCAGTCAAAGTTAACATGTAATTTTAGTTTTAAAAATATGACGCACTGTAGATTTAGAGACCATAGTTTTCAAGGAGGGGGGGAATCAAAATTTGCCCGATTCTTGAAACTCTGCTGCTTATTCAACTTAAAATGATTCTCTCTTGACATAATCTGAATAGAGAAAACAGCAACTGGTTCTTTTGTTGTTTGCCACATAATAAGTTCACTCAAAACAGGGAAATTCAAAAAAGAATGGGGAAATTCAATCCCACAATGTACTGAACCAACAGTTTATTCTGATAAAATTCATTAAAATTTCAGTTTTACAAATGATGTTTCCCTCAACCCATATTACATCAAATTCACAATTAAGATTAGCTAAGGACACAAATGAATGAATGAATCACACAAATGAATTTTGACGAAAAGTCACATTTCTTTTAACTACTAATCCCTTAAACAAGAGCACCAGGAAACTGCCATAAAAACGGCAATATTCCAAGAAAAAAATTTTAATTTTTCAGAGGTAACTTAGTATAAATTTAATTCAAAACACTTTTAAAAAATATTTTATTCATCATAAAATTCAACTTTGAAAAGGCTCCAACATTTTCAAATACACTACATTAAAGCACTTAAAGGGGCCTTGACTTCAATTAAAATTTTGAATGGTACATAAAATTATGCAAGATAAGGAAGCATTATTTTAGTTTCAGCATTTCTTCCAAGTTAAGTTAATTTTTCTTCCAAAACAGCACCGATTTTCTGCAAAGTATACACATAGAGATTTCCAAACGTTTTTCTACAACAGAACTTCTAATACATCATTAGTTAATAATTCTTCTCACCTAAATAACACAACACACATGTAGAAATTTTTATTTACTAAAATATATCAAATCTCGAGTGCAAAACTTTTCTGCAATGCATACCACAATACTCCAAACAATTAAAAATCAATTAAGTATCAACTGAAAGATCAATAACAAGCCTATCAAGTGGTTAAAAGCAACAAATAAAATCTCATCAAAAATTTTTACAGCAATCAGAAAGTATTATTTCTAAATACAGCATTATTCACTACACTGAGAATAAATTAAATATATAGCCTGACTTAAATTAAGTTTGCAATGATTTTTCTAGTAATTATCCACATGCCTAAAAAGGTCATCAGGTATTCATTATGCAGAACATCCACTGCAAAAATCTACAGATTCTAAAATTAGACCTATTTCATAACATTAGCTTTCTCAAACATGATATCAAAGCTATGTAGTTTACATAATTAGAAGATACTTACCACTGCAAAACCACTGAAAAAACTAAAATTCAATTAAAGCATAATGTTACAAAATACAAAAAAAAAAAGTTATTAGAAACTGCTATTATGTTCAGGTTAACGATTTCGAAATGCAGTTAAAAAGAGTATATTAAATGCATCCCATTATCAAGCACATTTCGTAAAATGTTTAACTGGACATTCATGGAACAATGCCAAAATACAAACAAGAATTAATTCGTGGTCTGTGTTCGTTAACAGGTACATAAATATATGAATGTTAGCTAGTCAAATCAGGAAGTTGGTCAAAAGTAGAACAATTTAAAATAATGAAGGGTGTATTTGCAATAATACGCTTATAAATTTATAATGGAAATCATGCTACCTTTAAGAAATGACTATGGTTTTTTACTAAACATTTTATAAAACCACATCATTCAGCAATTTTAAAGGGGAACTTGTACAAACTTGTTTAGAATGTAAGTAATTAGTTTCTTACAATTTGCATAAATCAATAGATATGCATTACAAGAAAATTTTGACTATAAATTCAAATAAATTCGAATTATAGTTCCTAAAATTTAAACTATGCATACTAGAAAATAAATAACATTTAATGCTTTTTTTTTTCTTTCTTTTTTTTTTTTTTTTTTTTTACCTTTCAACAGTAATTCTTTCTCTAAATGCTGGAAGTGGAGGTTTTGGAGGTGGCTCAACTTCACTTAGCCGCAGAGAGTTCCCTGATCCTAAAATACTATCTGAAGAAGCAGAATGATGTAGTTGGGGTAAAGTAGAAACCTCTGATATTTTTGTTTGCTCAAGAATTTCCCTTTCTCGTGGAGTTAATGGTATGTCGGGAAGGGAATTTCGGTGAGGACTGCAAGATGACAGATCCCAAAAAAAGCATAATATACACATAAATAGCCAACAATGATTATATAATATGAATAAATCAACACAAAATATTTTACTTAACACATTATACAGGGTGCCCACTAAAATCTGGTAACACCCATTTTACTGCCGAATGGCTGCAGCTAGAGTCATAAAAGTGGTGTCTAGGTATAGTAAAGTGGCTATGTGGTACTAATAGATAAGATAGCTTACAGCACCATCTGGTAAAAAAGGGCGGAGTTAGCATCACTATCTCAAAAGTTATATGAGATAGGAAGAAAAAGTGAATTACAAAGTTGTAGAGCATCATTGATTTAGTACAAAAAGACACCTCGCGGATATGAATGCTGAAAACGCATATTTGTTTCTTCATGATTTCCGAAACTGTAAAGTCACAAAACTTGAACCAAAGAGAAAAGATTATTTTTTGGATGAAACACAAGCCTGTATCGTGGCAGATTCTTATCACTTGAAATTCACAAACGAGAGGACTGTGGTTCAAACCCTGCAGGGTGCATCCTTATACTGATTGCCATTACAAAGTAGACAATATGCAGACTGTGCACAATCGTGTCGCAAAACGCATCAATTCAATGCAACTTGAGCTTGGTGTGTGAATTTGGGCATTATGCAAATAGTGTATGAAGCCTCACACCTGTTCACCTGAGACAGCTACAGAAGAGATATCTCCTTGGGGTTGTATGTTGAAGCTCATGTTCATGCAGCAATTTTCAAAAAATGATTATTGTGAGATGGTCTTACTTTGTGGTGAATGTGGGCACAAAGCGCTATCGGCAGCACGGTTGTATCAGCAACTTTTCTTCAGGCCCGCATCCTTCAAACAAAACCATCCTACAGGTTGTAGAACATTTAAAGGAGACAGGCTGCATGACCAGCCGACTTCGATTTGGCAGACCAGCTAAGCTAGAGTAGAAAGTACAGCCGGATGATGTTTTATCATATGCCCTCACATATCCAAACAGCAGCACAAGAGAGATAAGTGAAAACTGTTGCTGCTCAAAAGAGAGAGATTGCATTTGGAAAGTCAGAAATGAATTAGGTGCTCATCCATACCGGCTACCACCTAAGATGTTTTATCATACGCCCTCACATATCCAAACAGCAGCACAAGAGAGATAAGTGAAAACTGTTGCTGCTCAAAAGAGAGAGATTGCATTTGGAAAGTCAGAAATGAATTAGGTGCTCATCCATACCGGCTACCACCTAATCAGGCATTACTGGACGGGGATGTCGAGAGACATTTTGCATGGTGCCACTTCATCGTGAATCAGAGAGTTCCAAACAACATTCTTGGCAGGTATAAGTATTGTTACGAAATGTAAAGGCGTGGTAAGATAGCTTCCCCGCAAAGCAGTTTTAGGGTTGCCATATTTGGCGAGAAATCGCCCATTTGGCGATATACCATGGACAGTTGGAGAACCTTCTGGAACTATTTCTTACCGCTTTAGTCCAGAATGTTCCCGAACACAAGCCGAAAGCTATATAAACCCTGCTGGTCCGCAGTCAGTCAGTGTGTCTCATCGAGTGTGAGCATGTCTCGTCTAGCGAGTCAATCGAATTGACAGCCGGGCAGCGAGTGCCTAGTGGGTCGTCAAGTGCACCGAAGTAATCTGTTAGTTTCGCGCGGTTAGTGCATTGTCGAGAGAGCGTGTTGAGCTCCGGGAATGACTGAACCGAAGAGTCGGGAGCTGTGCTTGTGTGTCGTCGAGTGCATAGCGAGTTGTAGCTTGGAGAGTCTCGAGAGTACGTGGAGTTCCGAGAACGACCAAGCAGAGTCGGGAGCTGTACTCTGGAAAGCAGAAAGCTGTCTCCACCGTGATAGCCTGATAACCTGAAGACTGTGTCGCTGATCGTGTCAGCATATTTATGGGAGTTCATCAACGACTGTAAAACGTGTTTTGAAGCTGTCCTGACAATACTGGTTAATAAAGTGTGTTTCGATACTTCATTAAGTAGTGTCGTCATTATTCACTCCAAATCTATACGGACCCCGTACGAACGTGAAGGAAGAAAATAACATAACAACTGGTGTCAGAACAGAAAAGAAAAACGTAACAACTGGTGTCAGAAGTGGGATTTGCGAGTGAATGCCAGTGACCCGCCTGCAGAGGAAAGCCATGGCGGAGGAAACGAAGACTTTGATGGACTTCTTAACCGAGATAAAGGAAGAGATGAAAGCCGGACAGAAGGAGATAAAGGCTGAAATCAAAGCCGCACTGAAAGAGATGAAATCCCGGCGAGAAGAAATAGATGTCGGTGAAGAAAAAGTACGAGAGTAAATCCAACAGGTGAAAGTGGAGTTTACAGAAGAAACTGGAGCCATAAAAGGCGATATGAATATGAGAGAAGTGGCTTTTGGAGAATCAAAGGGTGAAGAAATGAAGGCAGTAGCTAACAAACTGCCTGAGAAAGATCAAGAAATGAAGGATGAAGCATCTAACGGGATTAAAGATAAAGAACGAAAACATGAAGAAATAAGAGACGGGAAAGTAGAGTTTGATTCTCAAGTGCCTGAAGTGGAATAAAGTGAAATGCGACTGTTAATTTCTTCAAAACTGATAGTGAAGTTATGAAAACGCAGTCAGTAAGTGTTGAACCATCTGAAAGTGCATGTGATGCAGAGATGGAAGATGGTGAAGTGCAGCTTAAGTAGTACGCTCCAGTATTGCGAGAAAATTCACCCACTTCACAGACTGGGTGTGTGCTTCACAGTGCAGGTTTTGTAGACAAGGACTTGATTCCAAACCCGGATATTTCTGCTTGTAAAGGATCGGATTCTATTCATGAACCTGGTGCAAACATCGGTACTGGTTTTCAGGAAATAGAGGTAAATAAGCCATCTGCTAATGATATTGAGGTGAACTATACGAATGCTGCAAATGATCTACATAGTGGTGTATGAATTGTTTTAGATTTTCCTGTGGATGAAAAGCCTGAAGGACTGAATCTCCAGACTCCTGATATGCAAAACATCAATGTGTCTGAGAAATGCAGTAGAAAAGTGTTTGACACAGGTATATTTTAATGAAAAGACAGAGACTGAAATTAGACTTTAATTTGATATTAGATTTTAGATTTAATTACAGATTAATTTAATTTTAGATTTTAATTGAGACTTTAATTTATATAATTTAAAATTGTTATGCGTTTAATTTGTGTATATGACTTGTACATACTGTAAATATCTGTTTCTTTAGTTATGTAATTTCTTTATACCTTATGTTTGTTTCATTACGTTTTGTTTGTATCGAATTAGGCTTCTGACCAAGGGTTGTACTGCCCAGGACGTGCAGTGGGAGGGGGCATTGTTATGAAACAGAAAGGCGCGGTAAGATAGCTTCCCTGCAAAGCAGTTTTAGGGTTGCCATAAAACAGCAAGGGGAGCAGGGTTGCCACATTTGGCGATATACCATGGACAGTTGGAGAACCTTCTGGAACGAATTCTTACCGGTTTAGTCCAGAATGTTCCCGAACACAAGCCGAAAGCTATGTAAACCCTGCTGGTCCGCAGTCAGTCACTGTCTCATCGAGTGTGCCTCTCATTGACTGTGAGCGTCTCGTCTAGCGAGTCAAGCTCTGCAGAGTCGATTGAATTGACAGCCGGGCAGCGAGTGCCTAGTGGGTCGTCGATTGCACCGAAGTAGTCTGTTAGTTTAGCGTGGTTAGTGCATCGTCAAGAGAACGTGTTGAGCTCCGGGAACGACTGAACCGAAGAGTCGGGAGCTGCGCTTGTGTGTCGTCAAGTGCATAGCGAATTGTAGCGTGGAGTCTCGAGAGTACGTGGAGTTCCGAGAACGACCAAGCAGGGTCGGGTGCTTTGCAGGAAGCTGTCTCCACCGTGATAGCCTGATAACCTGAAGACTGTGTCGCTGATCGTGTCAGCGTATTTATGAGATTTCATCGACGACTGTAAAACGTGTTTTGGAGCTGTCCTGACAATATTGGTTAATAAAGTGTGTTTCGATACTTCATTAAGTAGTGTCGTCACTATTCCCTCCAAATCCATACGAACCCCGTACGAACGTGAAGGAAGAAAATAACATAACAACTGGTGTCAGAAGAGAAAAGAAAAATGTAACAGTATGGATAGATAAGGCATGCTTTTCGCAGAATGAAATGTACAACAGGCAGAATCCCCATTATTTGGCACTGGAAAATCCATCATGTTCTGCAGGCATTTGACATCATATACAGTTTTTGATTTATGTTTGGTGTGGAATTTAGAATAACAAGATAATCGGCCCAATATTTTACTAGGGTGTGTTAACAGCCACATGATATTTAGAACTTATACAAGACATTATACCCAATTTTGTTGAGAACCTGCCATTGCTTTAACTCCAGAATGGATGGTTCCAACATGATGGCGCGCCTGCGCACAAGCCATCACAAGTGAAGCAGTAACTGATGGAGAAATTCCGAAAATGAATAATCCGGTATGGTCATTTCGAAGAGTGGTCCCCTTGTTCACCTGACCTGACTCCAATGGACTTTTTCCTGTGGGGGATACCTCAAACAGCAGGTGTACGCAACTCCTCCATAAACATTGAAAGACCTTTAACTACATATTGCAGATGTTTGTGCAAACATGTCATCCATTATGCTACAATGCGTGCAACTTGAGGTTCTAACAAGGGTCCAGATGTGCATGTCAGCTGACGGACAAAAGTCTGAACATCAAAAATAAAGTAAGCTTGTGATAACTAGTTAGTTTTTTCCTTTCTAGGATCGTTTGATGACATCACAGTATAGGAAATCGGGAACAATTAAATGTGCATTTAAAACGTTCTGTTCTTAACATTCATGCCCACAAGGTGTCTTTTCGTACTAAACTGACGATGTTCTACAACTTTGTAATTCACTTTTTCTTCCTATCTCATACTGTTTTCTGGATAGTGACACAAACTCCCCTTTTCTCCACCAGGTCGTGCTGTAAGCTATCTCATCTAGTAGCGCATAGCC